GGCTCAGGGGAGGGGCCGAGGGGGACGAGCCACCACGAACTACGAACCACGACGAAAATAAGGATGTCCGCGGCCCAGGGGGGCTGTCCTGGGAAGCCTGGACGGAGCAAGCCTCCGAAGGGTGGGTGGCCCAGGGGAGCTGGGGCTCAGGCTCAGGGGATGGGCCGAGGGGGACGAACCACCACGAACCACGAATCACGACGAAAATAAGGATGTCCGCGGCCCAAGGGGGCTGTCCTGGGAAGCCTGGACGGAGCAAGCCTCCGAAGGGTGGGTGGCCCATGGGAGCTGGGGCTCAGGCTCAGGGGAGGGGCCGAGGGGGACGAACCACCACGAACCACGAACCACGACGGAGATAAAGATGTCCGAGCTCTAGAGCACAGCTGTGCAAGATAATAATAATAATGAGAATAATAGTAGTAGTAATATGAAGAAGCACAATCAGAAGAAGAAGAAGAAGAAGAAAACGGCACAAGCATCAGCTTGCGACGGCCCGCGCGGATCTCTGGGATCTTCGCCGGGCCCCCTTGGCGGCAGATCCAGGAAATCCGCGCGGACCGTCGAAAGTTTATGTTTGTGCCGTTTCTTCTTCTAGATGTCCTGATGTTTTCAGCACGGGCCCCCCAGAGGTCCCGACCCCTTCCCTGGGGCCGGTTTTCATCGCGAATCGTGTTTTGACGGTGTTGGGGCCCGGCGAGGGCCCGGGAGAGGCTGAAGATTGCCCCAAAACCTCCCGTCCAGATTTTTTCACGACGCATCGCACATTGGGGTAGGGTGAGGAGGGGGGAGGGGGACGGGAAGGAGATGTTGAGGGGGAGGAGAAGGAGGAGGAGGAGGAGGAGGAGGAGGAGGAGGAGGAGGAGGAGGAGGGAATCGAAAACGCTTCAGCATGTGATACTCATCTGGTGGAGCGCCCCGGGGGCTCCCCCGCTTCTACGCGAGGGCGACCCTTCGCCGGAGTGACCTTTGGTGCTGCTGGCGCACTGAGGCCCCCCGACCATTCAATGCGATGCGATGGCAGCGGCTCGCACGCTTGGGCTTGTCCCCCGCGCGCCCCCCTAAAGCCACGCACCAAAGGTTGCTCTTGCGTGTAGCGGACACCCTTCCTTCATGGCAACAGTTGCCCCTTCCCCAGAGAATTGGATGCGCCTGCTTCTCTCGCACTGTGCTGTCTCCTGTTTCACACCTCGGCGCGGAAAGCGCCCGCCTGCAGCGCCCTCGACGGCGTGTTGCTGCATGTCCGCGCCCGCGCTCCCGAATCCGCAGCTGCTGGCTGTGGCGCGAGAGCCTCCTCGCAGCATGGCGCGACCGAGGCCGTCTCTGCACGCAGCAGGGCGGAGCGGAGAGAGGAAGAGATGATCGATACTGAGATGCGCCGCGGCATTTCTTCTGCATGCGCCAGGAGCCGCTGCGAGACATCGGTGCTGTCTGTTTTCTAAGTCGTGCCGAGTCCTTTTTAGAAGTTTTTCGGCCACCGCTTCATGCTGGACCATGGACCACGGAGCAGTACAGACTCCTGGAAGTGGCGCTTTGCCAAGGCAGGCACAGAAGCGGAGGCGATTTGCAGCAGGTTTATTGTTTTCACCTTCTGACACGCCGCCACTTCAGCGAGGACACGGTGCTCGCATTCTTCCTCACTCCTCCCTTCTCCCTCTCTCCCCCGCCTTCCTTTCACCTCCAATACCTACCTCCTCCGCTTCCTCTCGTTCCCGAGGCCCTGCATTCATATCCTATCGCAGAGACATGCAAGAGCGTGCAGTGACTCATTCATGCCCTCAGCGCAGTGTCCTTGTCATTGTCCTTGTCCTTGTCCTCCTCCTCCTCCTAGTCCTCTTCCTCCTCCTCCCTTCGCTACCTCACAACCGGCCAACCTGCCCTGTTCTTTCCGCGTTGCCAGCGTACCTGGTATCTTGCCTCTCCTCATTATCCGCCTCCTCCTCCTCCTCCTGCCCCGTCCTCCTCCACCCTCTTCTTCCTCCTCCTCATCGTCGTCCTCCTCCATCCTTTTTCCTGATAAGTAACTCCCCCATGTCGCTCCCTGAGACGTATCGGTATGGCGGGCCGGGAGTTTCGCTTAAGACTTCCTCGTCATGTCTGATCCTTACGCTTAGAATGTGCAAGAGCTTCGCGGATGGAGGGCGGGCCGTTTTCAAAATGTGAGTTTCGCATTAGATCCGAGCACATTCGTTTTAAACGTTTTCCAGAGCTTCACGGATGAAGAGCGTGTCGTCTTCAAAATGTGGTTCTCGCCGTAGTGGCGCGACATCAGTTTTAATACCTTGCAAAAGTTTCACGGATGGAGGGCGGTTCCTTTTCCAAGTGTGGTTTTCGTTTTAGCGCCGCGCACATTCATCTGAAGAGTTCGCAACAGTTTCAAGGAATGTCGTTCTGGCACGATGTAGAATTGTCAGGACGCAACGGTTACGTTGATTCGCGGCCTTGAAGTCCCAGCAACGGTGTTCTGGCACGACTCAGGATCGCCAGGACGCAGCAGTAACGTTGATTCGCGACGTTGATGTTCTGGTAATGTTCCGGATTTTCAGACGGTTGTCTTCCAACTGGGCCGTTCCTTCAGTGAACGTGATTCATTGACGGGACCTGTGAAGAGGGAATTTGGAGGGAGGGGTGATTGCAATATTTTTGATGGGTCTTGGGTTTATACTGGTCCGCCTCCTCCTCCGCCTCCTCCTCCTCCTCCTCCTCCTCCTTCTCCTCCCCCTCCTCCTCCTCCCAGCTTCTGGCCCCAGCAGGTGGCGCTTGCATCGCTCGCCCGAGCCCATTCCGCCAGGCCCTCAGGGGACCTGGGCTTAGCAGACCTCAATCCGCCGTTCGGGGGGGGGGGGGGGGGGGGGGGGCTTTCTGGACATGGTCGATGCCCTCCTGAGCTTCCGGGGGCATCCCCAGACCCTCTCGCGTCGGGGAAAATCTCGACGGGGAATGTTATCTCTGTTATTTACGTTTTCGACCTCCGCTGGGGCCCCTCGCTGGGCCCCAGGACCTTCCAGAAACGACTCGGTATGAAAAGCCTGTCCCAAAAAAGGAGTCCAGACCTCTGGGGCCACGTTCCCAGACCACGGGCGCCATGATTTTTTCATGATGTCGACCCCCAGAGCTCTGGCCCCATTCACCAGGACTGGTCACGTTGCATCTTCGGGGGGCCCCGCCTGTCCCCAAAATTGGTGTCTTCTCTTGTTCCCGACGCGGGCTCGATGCGGACTCGACGCGAATTTGGCGTGGCTCCGACGCGGATTCGACACGGACTAGACTCGGATCCGCCAAGTCCGACATGTATTCGACACCGATTCGAAGCGGTTAGGGCCGAGAGGGCACAGATAAGGTCCCCCGAGGATGCAACATAGGTCTGGCCCCATTCACCGGGATTGGCTTTTCATCCCGACTCGTGCTCTTGACAGTCCCGAGGCCGGTGCCAGGGCCCCTCGGGACCGGAAGCGATGGATAACCTGCGTCTCCATTGTTCGAGACGCCCATCCTCTATGGCCCGAGGGGGCCTGAGCGGTGGGAAACGTCGCGGCGTCGGAGCAGGCCTGGCCGGTCCGCTGGTCGGCCGAGATCGGGGCGATCCCTCGGGCTCTCGCTCCGCAGGGGGCAGCCGCACACCACCGAGAGGCGCTGCTCGGAGGGAGGAGGGAGTGGAGGGACCCAGGCTCCCCGTCGCGTCCTGAAAATGAGCCTGGCGCGATCCCAATCAGGGGAAAATGTCCTATTGCATGGGCGCATCGCTTCGCGCTGCTTCGCGTTGCTTGGCGTGGCTTGGCATTGTGTGGCACTTGCTTGGCGTAGATTGGCATTGCTTTGCATTACTTGGCGTCGCTTGTCTTGACATTGCAGTGCAATGCCAGGGAACCCGAGGAACAGACCCGGGAACCCCAGGAACCCAAGCAAGGAACAAGACCAGGGAACTTGGGGAACCCGAGGTACAAGACCAGGGAACCCCAGGAACGCAAGCAAGGAACAGGGAACCCGAAGAACCCACGCAATGAACAAGACCAGGGAACCCGAGGAACCCAGGCAGCCAGGGGAACCCGGGAAACCCGAACCCGAGGAACCCGGGGAAGCCGAGGAACCCGGGGAACCCTGGGGAACCCGAGGTACCCGGGGAACTTCCGAGCAACGGGCAGCGTAAGAATCGGAGGCGCCGAGGGCGAGGAACCCGGGGAGCCCGAGGAGCCTCCGAGGAACGGGCAAAGTAGAGCCAAGTATACGAACCCCGTAGAGTTAAGTCGGGCCTGTCCCTCTACAGAGGGAATATTCAAAAGTAGTCAAGCACTCGTCTGGGGACTATTTTTTTAGCATTGGTTGGCCATTTGGGGGAATTTTTTCCGTATTTTAAAAATTTGTCGTCGAAGATCCCCCTGTCGGGGGACACGCCCGACTTAACCGCAGGGGCAAGCCTCACGGGGGAAAAAAAAATGGCAGGACGACTACGGCGTGTGTTTGTCGGCAGCTGCTCGGCCTCCGCGGGGCCTCGGCGTGCCCCCCCCCCAGGACCGTCCACCAGAGTGGTGCGGGAGATGGAGGACAGATTGGTCCTGAGGAGTGGGCCGAGACCTCCGGCGGCCGGTCGGGACGACCCGGGCATCCCTGGAGCTCTCTCGACGAAGTGCGACTGCTGGAAAGCACCCCGAGACGAGAGAAAACCTCCAAAAACCAGCGAACAAAGTCGTCTCGTGACTGCTGTTGGTCTTTCCTGGGCAACGGCCGTTACTCAGAAATTGGAACATATACATTACCAGTGGCGGGTTGCGTTTTCAATCCCAGGACTTTTCGAGGGTCGGGGGCGACACTGGAGTGGTGTGGTGCATACTTTGTTCCTCGATGTCCCGGGGGAACAACGAAACATGTATACACCAGGATCCCGTCTACACCAGAATCCGCGTTCCTGTGCGAATTTCAGCGCAGGGTCGGAAAAAGCGTCGGTGTATAGAGTTCGTTTCCCTACAGATCCCCCACGTCATGATGATTGCACAGCGTCCATTCGCAGCGTGGTGATATTTGTTTCATCACGTCGAGACCTCCAGACAGAATCTGCCTGGAGGTCTCGACGCATCCCCCGGGACCGGGTTTTCCATCCCGGGCCGTTTTTTCGTTGACGGCCCCGAGGCCCGGTACAAGGGCCCCGCGAGGCCGAAAATGGCCAGAAGCCTCCCGTCGAGATGTCTGCATGCCTCGAGGGGGTCTGGGTCGGTGGGTCGACGCCGTGAGGACAGCACGGCGTCGGGGGTCTGCTGGTAGGGAGGGGCGGCCGCGGCGGCCAGAGCCGGCAGAGAGAGAGAGAGCAGGCCACATGTGGGCGGGCAGCGGAGGAGGCAAGGGTTGAGTCGGGCCTGGCTCTCTACAGGGGGATTTCAGACGACAAAAATAAAAATAACCCAAAAATGCCCCCAAAGGGCCGAAAAATATTCAAAACATCGTCCCCAGACTATTTTTTACTACGTTTGAGTATTCCCCTCTGTAGAGGGAGGGACAGGCCCGACTTCAGGCCAGAGGCCTCGGCCCATTCCTCAGGACCTTCAAATCTTCAAAGCTGGTCCAAGAATAGGCTGGTGACGATGTCTTGACAATCTGGGAACATTTGTTTGACTACTTTTCTTTTTCGTCCAAAGTCCGCCCGCAGGAGGACGTGCCCGACCTGAGGCAAGGGGCGGCCGTTGGGGGGCGGGGCCAGCGCCGCCCTCCCGGTGGCCAGGGCCAGCAAGATCCCGGGCCCTGGGCCAGCCGTGCGCAGAGAGGGGGCGACATCCCCCCTCGAAGTCAAGCGCAGGTTCTTTCCGCGACGTGGCGGCGCCCCAGGACCCCAAGAGTTCAGCGTTCGCGCCGGAAGTGGCGACTGCAAGCACAAAAGCCTGACCCCGTGGGCCGCCTTTCGCGCGTCGAACGACAGTAACAACTTGCGTTTGATTGCGAGGAGGGTTGCAGGGGGAGGGGGGAAGGCGTCTTCAGAAGCACTCCTGCTTCTTGGAAGGCGCGGGCCTCATGTATAGATCGAAAAAAAGGAAAAACGCCATAAACATAAACTATCGGAGCTGCGCGCGGATTTCTTGGATCTGCGCTGGGCCCCCCAGGCGGCGCCTCCAGCGCCGCCCCTGCCGCGCTCCGCGCGCCAGAGAGGGGGGCCCAGCGCGGATGCGAGAAACCCGCGCGGACCTCCAAAAGTTTATGCCGTTTTGTTGTTTTTCCATCTTTGGAAGGCGCGGGCCTCATGTATGGATGTCGGGCCGGCGCCTTTGACAAGCAGCCGCCTTCTAAGAAGCCTTCTCTCCCCTGCCCCCATACTTACCCCCTTGGTGCGCGTCGCCAGCTGGGGTGGTGCGCGCCCGAGGGTCCGACGTGTGGCCGAGACGTGGCTGCACCGTGGCCAACAAGAATGGCAGCGCCGTTGGGAGATCGCGATGGGAGCCCCAGGCCCCAACTTTTCTGCGGCGTTTCCTCGAGCCGGACATCGATCTGAGACGGCCCCGGACCCCGAGACTGGGCGAACAAAGTTTTCCGCCGGCGGCGAGGCAGAATGGCTGTACCAGCGATAGAGCTAAATAAGGGCACCGAAAAGCGAGTTAGCCAGCGTGCAGGAGAAGGAAGAGGACGGACAGGGCGGCCGCGGAGGGGGGAAGCGGCTTGGGCTAACAAACACGCCCGGTGGGGGAAAAGATGTAGTGAAAAACCTTCCGTCGTGACTTTTTCATGACTCGAGGTTGTCTGGGTCAGGAGGTCCATGCACGAAACCCTGGGGCCCAGTGACGGCCCAAGTCGGGGCCAGCAGGTGAACGAGCGGCCGCCTTCTGCGGGGTATGCCCCCCCCGCGGGGGCGGATCGGGCGGGCCCGACCGGCATCGCGATCGGGCATCGGATCGGCCAGCCTGGCAGGGTTGCTTAATCTTAAGTCGGGCAAGTCCCTCTACAGACAGAATATCAAAAATAGTAAAAGAAATAGTCAGTGGACGATTTTTTGGTTTTACTATTTTGGATTCTGTTTGGATATTTGTTGACTGTGTGTCATTTGTCCTCCAAAATCCACCTGTAGGGGGACACGCCCGACCTACGCCTAGTCTGATCCGATCCGATGGGATTCGACTCGCCAGATCTCGATTCGATCTGGGACGACTCGTTGGCGGTCTGGTCCGTTTCCGATCTGATCCGGCTTCGCGATGCGATCCAGCTCAGGCCTGCGCCTGGATCGGAGGGCACGGCTGCTCGTGGCCGCAGGGAAAAAGGGTGCCCGCGTCGCGGGCGCCGAGGGGGAGGTAGGAGGGTTAGGACGAGGGGGAAGAGGGAGGGAGGGAGGAGGGTAGGAAGGAGGGAGGAGAGCTGGGAGTAAGAGGAGGGCGGAAAGGCTCGAGGGGTAGGACGACGGGGAGAGGGAGGAGGGAGGAGGGGGGAAGGAGGAAGGGAGGGGGGAGGGGAAGGGAGGAGGAGGGGGGAGGGGGACAGAAGGGAGAAGGGGGAGTCACCTCCTAGGAGCACATCCTGGAGGGAGGAGATGGATGAGCAGGGAGGAGGAGGAGGAGGAGGAGGAGGAGGAGGAGGAGGAGGAGGAGGGAGGAGGGAGGAGGAGGAGGGGGGAGGAGGAGGAGGAGGAGAAGGGAGGAGGAGGAGGAGGAGGAGGAGGAGGAGGAGGAGGAGGGCTGCGCCTCCTCCTTCTCCTCCGCTGTAACTAACGCCTTGCTGCGAGCACGAGACGGCCCTCTTGCCTCCAGCCGTGGGAGGCCCGACAGGGGGGAAACGAACCCCTTGGCCGCGCGAACGGTCCAGGCCACACGCCTGGCTTCATGACAGGGCCCCCTCGTGAAGCTTCGGCAGAACGGGGGAGTGGCTGGGGTGAAACCTGCTCGGTGGGCCTCTGGGGGATACGCCGGGGGCCTGCAGCCACCTGGGGGGGCCATCTTGTATCAGGCGATCGCAAGCGTGGATCAAGTGGTCGCGGATTAGCGACGGGTCCCGTTTCCATGGGAAATCGCGGATTTCCGCCGCCGAAGGAGGCGGCACCGGCCACCTTCCCCCCGATTTATGGATTTGGCGACCGCGCGCCAAATCCATGGATCGCTAATCCATGCTTGCGCGTCCCCGATTTAGGGAGACGCAGGGGGTCTGCAGCTACCCAGGGACCATCTTTTAACTACACTGCCTGCATGGCCACACCTGCACGAGACCTGGAAAAGGGGAGGGGTTTGGGGCGCAGGCGAGACAGTAATGGGGTCTTGATGCCGAACGCTTCGCGTAACCCCACCAACCCATCCAGAAACAGTGCCCAGGCGAGTTGCCCTGATCAGGCATGTAGGGGAGCACGCAGTGGAGTAAAGGCTGGGAAAGGTGTCATGCCCGAAGAGGGGGAGGACGGGCCAGAGTAGGAGGAGGAGGAAGAGGAGGAGGAGGAGGAGGAGGAGGAGGAAGATTAAGCAGATGAGGAAGACGAAGCGGAGGAGAATGAGGGCGAACAGAGAGGCCAGAGGACTCTTAGATACTTCTCGGAGTCTTTTCGGATGTTGCTCGAGAGCGTCTTGTAGGCCTGTTGGGGCGTTTGGGGGACATCTTGGCGGTCCTGGGGACCTCTTGAAGCGTCTCGAATACCTTGGGGGAGAGCCTCTTGGGGACATTTTGGGGGCCTTTTGGTCTCTTGGAGCCTCTTGGGGCCTCCTGTGATGGCACTCTTGGGAGCCTCGGGGCCTATCTTGGGATCATCTTGGAAGAGTTCGATCAAAGAGGGGGGGGGCTGAGCTATCGCCCCCCCCCCCCCTGGAGGCCAACGTAGGCCCAAAACCTCAGCACAATCAGTGATGTCGGCCTTCTCGCCGAGGCCATATTGGACGCTCTAATCCCCCGCGAGGCGTCCCGTCCAGATCCAGGGGGAGAGGGCAGGGGGAGTGGCAAACCCATCCCCGAAGAGGAAGAAGGGGGGCTGGAAGAGGACAGACTCTGAACCACTCACGCCCTAAAAGGCTGGTGTGATTATCTCCTCCTCCTCCTCGTCATTATCATCATCATCAGCATCATCACCATCATCAGCATCATCCTCCTCATCATCATCATCAGCATCAGCATCATCATCATCACCATCATCATCATCATCATCATTATCAGCATCATCACCATCCTCATCATCAGCATCATCATCACCATCAGCATCATCGTCATCATCAGCATCTTCATCTTTATCTTCACCTTCATCGTCGTCAGTAGCATCAGCATCGGCGTTACCACCATCATCATCACCACCACCATCATCATCATCAGCAGCATCAGTATCATCACCATCGTCATCATCATCAGCATCATCATTGTCGTCGCCATCCTCATCACCATCATCATCAGAAGCATCAGCATCGTCGTTATCATCATCATTATTATTTTCTTCCTCCTCCTCCTCGTCCTCGACCCCGTCTGGCTTCTCTTTCGCGCCGCTCGTGCGTCGCCTTCGCGCCGCTCTTAACAGTCCTCCGCTGGTCTTCCGATGGCATTTCGCCGTCTTCGGCCTCGGTTTATTTCCGCCGCCTTCTGTCGGCGAGCGGCGTGATGAAAAGTCAAGGAGCTTTCACTGGGCCGATGTATCCTCACCCACCCGCTGAAAGCTGCCACCGATTGGCTCCGACCCACCCAATTAAAATTGCAATCAACAGACCAGCATCACCCGCGTGACGCTGCCACCCAACCATCCGTGCAGACCTATTTAACATTGCCGCCATGAAGTTCGGTTGGCTAAAACTGCAACGCAAATACTCTCACGCATGCGCCTCACGTTGCCTCACAATTCTTCTCCTTCGCGTATCCCAACCAGTTCGGTCAAAACCTTGCCCATGAGAGCTGACGGAACAAGGGACGAAGAGATACATATAGTGAAACAAAGGTCAGCGGATCCGTGGAGAGTGGGAAGGAGGGGAGGTGGAGGAGGAGGAGCAGGCGGAGGAGGAGGAGGAGGAGGCAAACCGCCTCTTGGGGCCCTCTTGGGGCGCTCTTGGGTGCTCTTGGGGCCGTCATGGGGCCCTCTTGGGGCCCTCTTGGGAGTCCTGCAGGGCCTGTTGAGGCCATCTTGGAGGCTATCGATGAAGGAAGGAGGGGGGACCCCCGATTTGCTCCCTCCCCTAGAGTCATCAGCATCTCTGAGGTCGCCCTTGGGCGTTCTTGGGACCATCTCGCCAACCCGCCTAAAACAGCCACCCGAATATCCCCACCTACCCACGTAGAACGGCCACCCACATATTTTCACCCAGTCTTGATCACATGGACTTCGGACGGCCTTGGCTTGATCAGTCAGTCCCTGTTCACGAACAATGCAGACGGCTCACGTAAAACAGGGCCGCCCGTGCAACTACGAAGGCCATTGCCACGATCTGTTAGACACCACCCACCGATAACCGCATGTTGCTGTCCTCGCCTTTGGCAATGCGTCCAAGACGAAACATATGCAAAGGCATGCAAGAACGAAGTTTGGTGGAGTCGAGCACTGGTGAACAAACAGGTGCCGATTGTCCTGCGATGGGGCAGGGCAAGTCAGCATGAGCAAAGAGGCAGCTACATCTCGGCACCCGCACAGGCGGAAGCGACAAAACTGGGACGAGCCCCCAGCTTGAAGGTCAGACTACGACAGCGCAACAAGGCGTCGAGCCGACGTAGCTGGGACGGGCCCCCAGCCTGAGGGGAGATAGGGGAGGGGGCAAGACTGGACTTTGCCCCTGGGCTAGAAGTGGAAGGCACCAACGACGTGCAGGGGAGCACAGCAAGGCTCCTAAAGGGAGCGTCGCCCCCGCGACCAGGCTGCTCCTGCTGGTTTGTGCGGCACCGCGGGGCCGACGAAGGTTGAATGCGTACGAGGCGCTCGGCCGCCCTAAGCGGGTGCTTCCAGACGACGTGCAGCTCGTGATGGCTTGTGCCCAGAATTAAACAGGCTCAATACAGGCCTCGGAACAAATTAGCGAACACATACCACATGCATCCGTGAACGCCTCCCCCTCCCCCCAATGTTCAAAGTTGGCGGTGGGTCTGATGAGATGCACTTCGACCGCAGTCTCCCCCGCGCGTGCCAACATTGAGTTTGGGGGGGAGGGGGAGTGTTCAGTAATTGTTTCCCTCTACCGTACTTCCGGCCCCCGTAAGTGGGGATCTTGACAAACCAGGACATCGGCACGCCCGATACAACTAGCAGCCGTGGGTCGAAATACTCTCCATTCTTCGCTCGCTCCAGGTGGAATGTTCCAAAGTCCTGGTTTGCAATGTCTGGTTCAAAGGGGCCCTGAATGTTGAGCATCGCTCCAGGGACTACCAGCAAGCTGGATACATGACGCGGCCGGTCTAGGCGGGAGCAGGAAGCATCTGTGGACACATCATGTCTTTCCAGTTCTCGGCCCTTGTATAGTGAGGCACGCTGGCCCTCCGCACGTGTACCCAGCGCGCGTGGTCTCCAGATGCCCCACATGCTGCTGCGATGTGTGCGTCCAGCTTCCTGGTAATCGTGTTGCTCCCAGCTGCTAGCGTACAATGGGCGGCTTGATGAGAGTGGCAGGTGCGCGTCTCCACAGCGGGATGGACGACATCCCCGCTCTCGTGGCAAGCCCGGAGGAAACCTATTGGAATCCCCAATCTCGACGCATCTGGGCTTCAACAGACAATCAGATGCTGGAGACAGTGTGCGCGGGATTGACTTGATTGGATATTCCGATCACGCGGCGTATCCGTGTCCGCATTGGCCTTCGTGTGTCATTGTTGTTGGTGTTGGATTGTTGTTTTGTCCGGATGAACACCTACACCACGTACCGAGTGGGATCAAGGGTTTTCGGGTTATGTCGCCGATCACGCGGCGAATTCCTCCCTCGACGAGAAACGAGACAGGGAGCGGCAGGATACAGGACTTGTCGAGAGCGCCCAATTGAGGAGCGCATGCCTCCGTGCGTGCGCGGACGGCGCACGGAACGGCGGCCCGCAAGCTCCTCATGGCGTGGACTGGCGTAGCCATGTGCACGTGCCAGGCATCCCTGTTCGGGGGTGGTTCTTGCTCCCGGCAGGCAGGCAGGTGATTCTCGTACTTACATTTGCAGCGTCTGGCTGAAACGTGAATCCATGGAGTGGAGTTGAGAGACCCTGGCCACTGCACAGCTGGGTGATGTCCAGGAGGGAAGTAGGGCGCAGGCACTGATAGCCGCTACATCTCATGGTCATTGAGGCGTTCCAACAATGGCCTTGCCTTCGAGGGTCGAAGGAAGTGTCATCTCTTCCGCCGCAGA